TTAGTGTAACAGCATGGACTATTGTAACATCCTTTTTGTATCGTGATAATCTCTTTTAACGGCTGAACTAAAAGTAAAATGTCAACCTAGCCTGAACATTTCATATAGGATAACTGGCATGTTACATGCAACTGTTGGGCCTGGGGTATACTTTTGAACTACCTGTTTAATTGAAACAGCTTCAAGTTTAGAGACAATTACCGGCTAGAGTCTTGATTGTCGTGCAAATCACTCCACCTGTCCTAAAAATTGTTACATTTACCCAGACATCAATGCCGACCAAACAAATAACACACCAAAATTTTCCTCAAGAAATTCTAGGGAACGTCGCGAGGTTTGACCAGCACAGCTGGAATGTTGTTTAATATACAAATGTTTGAAATCGTCGTGTGCATTTCATGTCCGCAACTCTGGGCTAATTAAATAGAGTCAATGGAATAAAATAGATCCAGAACACAAGAAATTAAGTGCTTCCTGAAACGTTTAGGTGTTTACTGTGCGGAAATTGGTGAAGTGGAAAACGCCGAGCCAGTTGTCTTAACTGGAGTAGAAGGCGACAAGAATGTTCTTGGAACCCAGGCATCCTTCACGTGTAAAGCGAACTACGCCATGGTAGGCGATGCAATAAGAACGTGTCAACAAGATGGAACATGGACTGGCACACAACCGAGATGTATTGGTAAGTTATGATAGACAAAGTGGAGCACATAACTAAATACTCATATACCAAGTTATTCTGGGGAGAATTGTCCAGTGCTAGTCTCGCATGGGCATCGATTCCGACTCGGGTAAAACAACGCCCTCTGTTCTCATTGGAACAAGAAAAAGAATAGCAAGAAGTTCAGGGGTTACCAGTACCCTTGTCAACATTAGTGGTACAAAATGTATTCTTAATATCATCCCCATAAGACGTCGGCGATAAGTACTAACTAGAAGCACGTTCATGGTACGTTCATGTAGGTTTTGCTGCCTGTTAAATGTATTGAAGAAAACGATTATCCTCGTGCTTGTCTCGGCAACACCACTTCATTTTTTTTTTTTTTTTTTNTGAAGTGGAAAACGCCGAGCCAGTTGTCTTAACTGGAATAGAAGGCGACAAGAATGTTCTTGGAACCCAGGCATCCTTCACGTGTAAAGCGAACTACGCCATGGTAGGCGATGCAATAAGGACGTGTCAACAAGATGGAACATGGACTGGCACACAACCGAGATGTATTGGTAAGTTATGATAGACCAAGTGGAACACATAACTAAATGCTCATATACCAAGTTATTCTGGGGAGAATTGTCCAGTACTAGTCTCGCGTGGGCATCGATTCCGACTCGGGTAAAACAACGCCCTCTGTTCTCATTGGAACAAGAAAAATAATAGCTAGAAGGTAAGGGGTTACCAGTACCCTTGCCAACATTAGTGGCACAGAATGTATTCTTAATATCATCCTCACAAGAGGTCGTCGATAAGCACTAACTAGAAACACGTTCGTGGTACGTTCATGTAGGTTTTGCTGCCTGTTAAATGTATTGAAGAAAACGATTATCCTCTTACTTGTCCCGGCAACACCACGCGGCAATACATGCCAATCACATGGCAATACATCAATATCAGAAAGAAATATTAAAATCAGTACCCCGCGAAACTCTTCACAAGGCTTGATCTCGCCTAAAACCAAGCCCTGGTGACTTCGACCTTGATTTCCTCCCGAGGACTAAGTTTCAAAACATCAGCTTGGTTTCTTTTTCCTTAATTGCAGCTGCCTTCTGCAGCCCAGTTCCAGTCCCTACAAATGGAGCGGTTCAAGGTTATCGGTATGAACTGGGCGCCACACTACGTATCTCCTGTGACACTGGTTACAACATGGTTCCAGAAAGTTCTTCATTTAGAACATGCGTCTCCGATGGTCAAGGAGGAGGAGAATGGTCACAAGTGGACCCTGTCTGCGAATGTACGTTTATTGCAGAGACGCTTTATATAAACAATAGTCTCAGTCCATTTGACGAGAAAATATGCTCGGATATTCCTCCGCGGATATAATTTGCTCCAAGAAGCGAACAGTTTCCTTGAGCTATGCTCCCGGAACTCTGTTCGCTTCTGGGAACAGATATTGTCCGCGGACAAGTATCCGAGCATATTTTCGCCTCAAGAATGGAGGCTGTTGTGTTTATTATCCTACCACTATTTCGCGTGGCACGCGCGGTTTTGAACTTTGGGAATACCACTCGGATATTCCCCAGTATTCAGCCACGTGACGCGCTTAGACCATTGGGGGACGAGCGAAAATATTTGATGGCTTATATACATTGATAGCCACTTCTTGTACCTGTAGAAAAAAACTTGTAATGTCCAAGAAAGCATAAAGAGAACATTGAACTAGTAAGATAATTTAGCTCCAGCAGGAAAAACCGTTGTAAACTTATACGTGGAACAAGCTGAAGTAATGCCAGACACCCATTTATTTGAAATTTTAGTGGTAGACTGTGGTGACCCTGGCGACCCTTATGGTGGATACCGTCACATAGCAACCGACACTAAGTACGAGTCCACTGTGACGTATACATGTCAGCCAGACCATCACCTGGAGGGAGAGGACAGTCAAGTTTGTCAAGGAGATGGACTGTGGAGTGGTTCGAAACCTGTCTGTTTAGGTATGTACACTGATGGATCAAGTTACTTTCCTCATTTAAAGATCTATGAAAGTAGTAGCTAAAGTGGTCGATGTTTTTCGGTTGACATTGCTCTTATAGGAACCCCTTAGGCCTTTTCTAAGAATACCACAATACATTCAATCTGCCGTGTTAGCCTTCCATGGACGAAACAATTGTTTTACCTTCCATTCTAATGACACCATGGAGTTTAGATTACATGTGGTAAGCTTGCGCGGGAGTGTGACCAATCTCCTCCTCAGGGTCTTCCCGCCCCGTGGAACAAGAGAGAGGGGTGGGAAGAAAACAGACCCTGGGAACGACGTTGGATTGTGACGTGTTACTAGATTAAAGCAACAATAAAGCTTGCTTCTGACTTTAAAGGCCAATGGAAACTAGGTCACAAATAACAACTGGAGTGAAAAAAAAAAAAAACACTGCTGTAAGCACTAGGGCAAATAAAAAGAAATTATAAACTCAAACCTGCATATTGGGGAGTATCATTGTATTTTTGTTAAGAAAGGCCAATCACATTTTCTCTCGATATGACTGCTTGATTGTGCAGGTAATCTTTCTAGGTGTGACGTCACAATTTGATGCTAGTTTAAACAAGCTGTATACTCTCATTCAATGATAACAAGAACAGTAACATAATATGGCGATATCATAATATAATGTTTAGTCACTCTCTTTCTCTAACGATGTTACGTACAGAGCGCTCTTGTGGGAATCCTGGAACACCTGATAATGGAGAGAAGAACTCGTCGTCCTACCAATATGGCAACGCCATCTCATTTACGTGTAACGTTGGTTACACCATGCAAGGATCCCCGGTTCGCACGTGTCAAACTAACGGCGAGTGGACTGGTACACAACCTACATGCCCCAGTAAGTTAGACTCTTGTGTTATTTTAATTGTCCNTAGCAACCGACACTAAGTACGAGTCCACTGTGACGTATACATGTCAGCCAGACCATCACCTGGAGGGAGAGGACAGTCAAGTTTGTCAAGGAGATGGACTGTGGAGTGGTTCGAAGCCTGTCTGTTTAGGTATGTGCACAGATGGAACAAGTTACTTTCTTCATTTAAAGATCTATGAAAGTAGTAACTAAAGTGGTCGATGTTTTTCGGCTGACATTGCTCTTATACGAACCCCTCAGGCCTTTTCTAAGAATACCACAACACCTTTCAATCTGCCGTGTTAGCCTTCCATGGACGAAACAACTGCTTTTCCTTCCATTCTAGTGACACCATGGAGTTTAGATTACATGTGGTTAGCTTGCGCGGGAGTGTGACCAACCTCGTCCTCAGGGTCTTCCCGCCCCGTGGAACAAGAGAGACGGGCGGGAAGAAAACAGACCCTGGGAACGACGTTGGATTGTGACGTGTCACTGAATTAAAGCAACAATAAAGCTTGCTTCTGACTTAAGAGGCCAATGGAAACTAGGTCACAAATAACAACTGAGTGAAAAAAAAATCCATTGCTTTAAGCACTAGAGCAAATAAAAAGAAATTATAAACTCAAACCTGCATATTGGGGAGTATCATTGTATTTTTGTTAAGAAAGNATGTAATTCGAGTAGCCGTAAACAAACACGTTTTCGGGGAAACCAAATTCACCTCGACGTGCATCACCTCGACGTGCTCACAGAAAAACTCGGCCGGACGAAACAAAACTAGGCAGAACGGAAGACAAGGAGTCAAGCTACCTTTGGAAACAATTGCTTTTTATTCAGATTCATTTGTGGCGCGAAAAATAAGCGCTGGACAAAAAGTGGTCGAGAAGTGGGCCCCACACTGTATATATACACAAGTTTGATATTGTTTAATTTTTTTTCTGTGAATTTACAGAACACTCTAATGTTCCCATTTGAGCTGACCAGCTATTGACATTGATAACATAAAAATGCATCAACTGTGGCTTTAAAACCCCAAATTATTGCATGGCTAGCTGCGTGAGCGGGGAAGATGAACCGAATCCTGCGCTGTGATTGGCTACCCGAGCGGGCAAGATAGCCTTGTCTTTCCCACTCGGGATTACCCGCAATGTCCCGAAAGAAAGTAGTGTTCTTTTTCCACATAATAAATCCTTTATTGACCTAGCTTATTTGCTCAAGATTGCAGGATATTGACCTTCCTTTTTTGCGTGTTTAAGGACCTCGACTCCGTCTCGGTCTATAAACACACAAAAAGAGAACTTGGTCAATATCCAGTCATCTTGACCTCACGCTTGGTCAATAACCCATACAATTTACACACATCCAGCTGTAATTGTATTGTTGTTATAAATCCTCACCCGTTACCACCAAATATGGCCTTGATTTTAATATGTTACTTTTTGTTACTTACGTCTTTGTAGCATTGTCATGTCCCAGCTTGAGCAACCCAGCCAATGGTAACGTGGCTCTGAGTTCCGGACTGGCTTTGGGAAGTACAGCAACATACACGTGTATCAATGGCTACAGAACATCATTTTCATCCTTACGATACTGTCAAGCAGACGGTCAGTGGTCGGGGGAACAACCTACCTGCATACGTAAGTGTCTGTCACCAGCATCTTCATGAAGTATTCTCTCTATGCCATTTAAACTTGCAGTGTGCCTGAAGCACCCCCCTCCCCCGGGGGGAACTCCCATAAACAAAGGACGTGGGATGTTGGTACCCCTTAGAGGTTCTTTTCAATATTTACGACGAGCACCTCTGTCCTTTTTATTTTGGATTGTCCCCCCCCCCCCCCCCCCCCCCCCCCCCCCCCCCCCCCCCCCCCCCCCCCCCCCCCCCCCCCCCCCCCCCCCCCCCCCNCCCCCCCCCCCCACCCGGCAGTTACCCATTGATCATGATGGCTTCACTACTTTTTGTGTTAGATTAGCTCGAAATCGACGATGACGCTTTCTGCCCCCATCAGGCAATATAGTTAATGTGTAGCCGAATAAACGAAACAAACACGAAATTGAAGTCTTCGTATACCATATCATACATTATATACCATATCATACATTATGCATGGAAGAAACGTCGCTTAATGGGATTGCATAGAGTGCTTTTAAATTCAGCGTCGTAAAACCAAAACCAAAGTAATTACACTAGCCAATCACAAAGGACACAGGCAATCCAGTGAACAATCAATCAATCAGTCAGTCATTGTTTATTTCTTAATGTACATTTTAAAGTTGAACCAGTTGAACCAATCAAAACTCCAAGTATTTGCCTGTACATGTTGTTGACGTAAAGCGCGAGAAAACGAGTACGAGCGAGTCACAATTGGTTTTCGTTTTACTTCTGATTGGGTGAAAAAGTGTCGCGAGCTTTTCAAGCCAATCGTGCTTCGTAGTAATGCAAAACCAATCACTTTTCGACACTTATGTGAAAAGCACTCTAAGACAACAAATTGTATGCTTCCTATTTCCTTCAACGTCTAGGCGTTCAGTGTGCGGAAATCGGTCAAGTAGAAAACGCCAACCCCGTTGTGTTAACTGGAAGAGATGGCAACAAGAATGTCCTTGGAACCCAGGCTACCTTTACGTGTAAAGCAAATTACGCCATGGTGGGAGATGCCGTTAGAACGTGTCAGCAAGATGGAACATGGAGCGGAATACAACCAAGATGCATTGGTATGTTTTGATAGAGGGCAATAGGACCCGTGGTCACACCCTCGGCGGGGGGGGGGGGGGGGGTCACTTAGTTAGACGTTCTCACAACGGGTTGCTCTGGTAAGGAGTTCCCCTAAAATTATGCCTAGCTTCAAACAGGTTTGATAAAATTACACTGTGTTTTTAAAATAAGGGTAAGGGTTAGAATGAGATCTTATGGTTTGTTGCCCGATTATTATCACGCCATACCTAAATGGAAGTCGTCATCATCTTTTCCGATTCTCCATACGCAGATAGAATCATTCACAAAGTGTAGGAACGTTCTTTGGTTAAATTATTCAGATCAAATTTGCGTTTTTCTGTCTGCAATCTTTGAGGGGTGAAAATAAGTGATCGAAAGATCGAAAGCAGCGAGAACTGTCAAACACAAGACTTGGATTGACTGTGATTATCTTCTTTGGCAAAACCGCGATTACCTAGGTCTGACGTTCTCTGATCTAAGGTGGGATATGTGTTCGAATGAATCCCGACCTTACTTCCGGCAAACAAAACTACTACCTGGAGCCCATTAGTCGCAAACGCAGCCGTTATCTGTAGGGAACTAGAAGCCCAGTTCAGTTATTCTGCTCACTCCTTCTGCAATCATAGAATGAAGTTCTGAATAAAGATAATCTGTGTGACTGTGCGAAAACAAAGGAAATTCGACGCACAATATATTGCTTCCTGTTATATTAGCCAGTACCCATTATGTTTGAGTGACTTTTGATGTGTAGGTCAGTTGTGTTACTGAATTTTTGTCTGGCAAGTGTCAGGCGGTGATTGATACCCTCACCTGAACGAATAAAAGCGTATAAACGCAATTGTACACGAAATATAGACGCTATCTTGCCTTAGCTGTTAGACGTAAAAAAAAAAAAAGTGTCTTGCAAAATTTTAACAAAGAATAACATAGAGAATTTATCTTGCTGATTGCAGCTGCCTTCTGCAGCCCAGTTCCAGTCCCTACTAATGGAGCAGTTCAAGGCTACCGTTATGAACTGGGCGCCACTCTACGAATCACCTGTGACAGAGGCTTCAAACTGGTGCCAGCTAGCTCATCATTCAGAACTTGTATCTCCGATGGCCAAGGAAAAGGGAAATGGTCAGAGGTGGATCCTGCTTGCGACTGTAAGTCTATCGAATATGGGCGTTGTACCGTTTTTAAAAATAGTTTTACGATCAGAGAGAACGGGGAGCTTTTTGATAGTGTAACATGACTAGTAAGATGGCAATCTTTGAAAATTAAGCTGAAGAGTAATGTAGCCTGTACAACAGGTAGATATAAAGAAGTATAATTAAGGGTTAAAACGGTTAAATGATAGATTTCAAGAAAAGAAACGGTGTGTTTGGGAAAGTACCTCCAACTGAAAACAATGATCGGGATCATGAAACTTTGCACATTCCTAAAACTGAAATTTCATAAGCAAGGTCAGAGTTTGTCTTCTTTAATTTAATTTACTTTAATTTCCTCTTTTCTTGCTATCTATATTTTGTTAGTTTCTTAATTTGTTATTTCGCATAAACAATAGCTTTAAGAGCATACAAGTTGTTTGCTTGTTACATTTTTCTTTTCTGTGCGCAAATGTTTGTGTTATTTGTTTCCAAATAAATCGATCATTTCTTCAATTTACCACATCAGCCGCACCGCTAAATTAGCTTTGTATAGCATTCATGGATGGAATTTACAAATGTGTCTGTTTTTGTTGTTGTTGCTGCTCCTCTACAAGCCTATATGGCTTACAAGGTCGGTGTTTGGCTCCAGTTTCGATAGTATGAAACGGGAAGAACTGTTACTAGTCACCTGAAGAGCATGCTACCCTCCAAGCTTTTTTTGTCAAGTTAAATTAAAAACTGGGACAAAGAGGAGAAGAGGGACCTTAAAGGAAAAGTGCCTTTCCCAAGACTGAACACGATAAAACGATCCCGATTAATTAACCTAACAGCTAGACCAACAGGTCTTCTTTGCAACAGTGTTCGACAGTTACTTCTTCGTACAAAATTATCACGTCATTTTGAGAGTATAGGAAACGAGCAATGGCCGGTTATCTCTATGACACGTGCCTGCAGGGAATCATGGTAGTTGTATTCATCATCTTGGACTGGATATTTGTGTTGATGAATATAACTACCATGATTCCCTGCAGGCACATCTCATAGAGGAAATGGGCCATTTGGAGACCCTATATTGATGTACAGCTCAACCATTGTTTTCGAGACAGAGCCTGTACGTGCCGCAATACGGAGGAAAAATTCATGCTAGAATTGAAAAGCCCTAGGCAATTAGTCGAATAATCATACAAAGCCTTTTCCATGTAAAATTTCAGTGATTGACTGTGGTGATCCAGGACCCCCTTATGGTGGTTACCGTCACATAGCAACCGACACTAAGTACAACTCCACTGTGACATACACATGTAAGCCAGATCATCACCTGGAGGGAGAGGACAGTCAAGTTTGTCAAGCCGATGGACTTTGGAGTGGCTCCAAACCTGTTTGTTTAGGTAACGTAGGAAATTATTTACTTTAACCAAGTCTACCAAGGGGTAATACAGTTGTGTTCCTGACAACTGAGCGTTTTCCAAACTTCCTTTCTTAGCTGACATTTTGAAATACCCTTTTGTCACGGTTGAAGATTGAATTTTTTTTCAGTGAACCATCCATGGTTAAAGCCCATGAAGATCCTATTTTGATGACTTTACATAAGAAAACTAGCCACGTTTCCCGTGTACGGGTGGATTTTCTTCTTGAAACCATCCACTGGCGATTGATAGAAATCTTCGGAATAGAATTTGTTACACCTTGAATTTGAAACCTTTTTTTTAAATTTACAGCAGTTTCAAATATGTGCTAGTTACACCCCTAAACAATACGTTTCTTACACTAGTACAACATTTGAAAAACTTGCCCTTTTGGACACTTACGCTACTTAAAACCTGATGGAAGAGTTGATTGCGGATTCTTTTAAACCAACAAGAATAGGAATGTATAATAATCGAATTTACTGTTTCTTTTCTCCAATGTCATCAACAGAGCGCTCCTGTGGTAATCCTGGTGTCCCAGACAATGGACAAAAAAGTTCGTCGACCTACCAATATGGCAACTCCGTCACGTTCACTTGTAACGTTGGTTACACCTTGCAGGGATCCAGTGTTCGTACGTGTCAAACTAACGGCCAGTGGACTGGCACACAACCTACATGCCAAAGTAAGTTAAACTTATCTTGCAGTAGCTAACTTTTAGCTTCATTTCTGGCCATTTAATAACATCTCCAAACCAAAATTCTCCTGAAACTCCTATCAGTTTAGCTGCGTACCAGACGCTTTGACAATCTAGCTAGTTTGCGCTTTGGTCGAGGTTCAAAAACGGCGCGAAACACGTTTTTGTTTGTTGGTTTGTTGAAATTCATGGAAATTTCTCGTTTACCACTTGTCTGAAGGGATAAATCCAGTGAACAGTCCAGTTTCTAATTAAGTCGTGGCTTGATTATTACTCCTTACTTTCTCACTGTCCCTCAATCTGGCGTGGCACAAAGGGAAGATGCTCCTTCCGAAACAAGTACTCATTACAGGCGGGGTTGTTAGCCTCTGACCCAACCCCACACCTGGAGGGCCCTGGAACTTCTTTGTCTTTCCGGCTTGGGAGGCCCTAGCAGAGGTGTGAAAAATAAACCCACCAGCATAACTCATAGAGTCATTAGGACACACAAGTCATTCAGCTGCGTCAAGGCAACAGTCCCAGTTAGTAAATGGTTTGACTGCTAACGAGCTGCTATAATATTTTTCTAATTATTCCGTTCTTGGGAGAAATGCTATAACGGTAGAACAAGGGGCATCAGTAAGAACATGTCTGTATTGAATATGTGCGGCATTTGTTTATAATTTGTTTTTAGTTGTAAGCTGTGGCGACCCGGGTACACCGACTAATGGTGTCAGATATGGAAATACGTTTACCTACCAGAGCACAGTAGTGTTGGAATGTGATCCTCAGTACAAACTTACTGGCGACCTTACCAGGATTTGCCAAGCAGATGGCTCATGGTCAGGAGCTCCGCCCACTTGTCAACGTAAGTAATGGCTTAAAATTCATTCGGTCCAAGTCCTGCGATAATTTCACTTCCAAGTGCAAATTTTTATGGTTATACCAGCGCTAACTTAGAAATCGCGAATAGCTGCTTCAGATTGTAACAATTGACTTCGCTAAAATCACTCTTAAAGACATAGCTACTGAAGGAAATAGTCACTATGTACAGTGGAACCCCGCCTTACGGTCACCTCGTTAATACGATGACCTCGTTATTACGGCCACTTTATTTTGTCCCGGCGAAACACTCATACATATTCTTATAAGAAAACTTCACTAATGCGGCCACCCCAATAATGCGTACGGCCAACGGCCACATTCTAAAATCCCAACCTGTATAATCCTTAATAATTTTACCCCTTTTATACGGCCACTCAAACCAGTTATGTTTATCTTTCCATTGTTAATATTTTATACAATGATTCAAGGTTCAATTTTTTACAATTATATCTGCATTCCCGATGCTTAGTAAAGAAGAGTTGCTTAGAAGTGCAATTATCAGTATAATGTGTAAGGTATCTGCTAAGACGTCACTTAATTTAGACCAGTCATGAGGTTTGACTCTACCCTGATAATACGGTCACCTAGTTATTACGACCAAATTTTCATGGCCCGTTGGTGACCGTATTAATAGGGCTCCACTGAATATAACTAGGAAAAGCTATCGCTTTAAATTGGTAAACTAATGACGTTAATAGTGACACCTCGCTAACATAAAAGTCCAGTAAACAGAAATTATGAAGGCGTAAGGACTCCTTTAATTTTCGTACAGACTCCAATCTTACGCCGCTAACAACATCTATCATTATTTCTTTTTTTTTATAATCAAATTAAGGCGATTAATTATTTTGCACGTCGGCGCATACAAAAGCCCCTGTCAATGTACCATGTCGGAGAGTCCCTAGTCCAAAGAAAACGTACTGAAAACACCCGACTGTTTTTTTAGACACGAGCTGTGGAACATTCCTAAATGGGCCAAGTGGTACGGTGACGTCGACAAACTACCCTGGAAATTACCAAGACAACGAATACTGCACGTGGCAGATACAGGTTCCAGTGAACAAGAAAATCAGACTTGACTTTACCGAATTTAAGACGGAGACTGGTAAAGATTTCGTGCTGATCTACGACACAAGTCAATACGACAGGCCTGTCATCGTATTTGACGGAACAACGTACAAACCGCCACCGTTTACTTCATCCGGGAATGTGCTGCGAGTGAGATTCATCAGTGATGGGGCCACAACTAGGAAAGGATTCAGTTTCAACTACAAGCAAGTCGGTAAATATGACACACATTCATTCAATTTGATTGCTAATTTTTCTTTGTTGTAACAATCACGAGAAGTGTGCTGGGAAAGTGTTATTTGTTCAATCCTGTGAATCTGAGGTCACCCAGCTAAAGTTTGGCTGTGTGTCTAACGTCAACTCATCGAATACCTTCTGTGGATTGTATGAACGAGAGCTCGTCCATACGAAAATGGAATATTTTGTTTGTACTGACTCCAGAAAAAATACTGTTTAGCTGTTTAACAGTCACCACTCTGACTAACTGACAAACAATCTTTTATGTGTCATTTCCTAGCGTCAAACTGCGGAGGCGTATACGAAGAAGGAACTGGCACAATCACGTCCCCAGGCTATCCAAGTGGTTATCCGAACAACGTTGACTGCGTGTGGCTGCTGTATCGCGCAGTGGAGTACCCAGACTTCATCTTCACTGATTTCAACACAGAAGATAATTATGACTTGGTGAAGATTACCGCTGGAAGGTAAGCTCTCTTGAAACAAACTTAGCCGTTGTATATTTTATTTTAACTCACCTTGTCGTCAGTCAGAGCCCTCTGGATCACATGTCTTGAGGCGTGGCAACGGGATATAGTTTACGTTCAAAACTAGAGTTAAAGAGGATAAGCTACTGCTTCCTCTTTTAAAGATATATCAATATAATATTCATGTTATAGTGTCATAGGTTTATACCGTTAATTGGCTCTCAACGTGTTATGTACCGTATAAAGCATATTGCTTGGTGAGACAGCCATGCTAATAATAAGTACGTTGTTAAAACAGTTAGCTTGACAACTATGAGTTTAACTCAATGCTGGAACGCTATAAGCTATAACATATAGTATCATATCAAAAATCGGGATTTCAGTGTAATCGCGAATGCGAGTTTACAACACGATCTTTGAAGGCATAGAACTTTAAGATGATCGCTGAACATTTGACAATCATTCCACAAACGCGAGTTAGAAACATAAATGACTAGGCTCCATTTGGCGCAAAAATATGCACGGATATTTCTCTATGGACATTATGTGTTCTGAGAAGTGAGCAGTTCTCTGATCGAGAGCGTAGCTCGTCGGAAAACTTCGAGCTTCAAGGAACAGAAAATGTTCAAGGACAAATGTCCGAGTATAGTTTAAAGTTAAATGAGGACTATTGTGTTATTGTCGTTAAGTATTTTTGGCAATGCATCACACATTGGATCTTTTGAAAATTGGGGAATATCAATCGGATATTCCCCAATTTAGCTAGGGCATACTCAGCCACATCACGCTGTTAGACCAATCGCCTGGGAGCAAAACTATTTGACAGAGTATGAGTGCTGTTCAAGAGAATATCAAGACAAGAGAGTAAGTCCCCCATATAGGCCTTATACCTAAGGTAATCCCTCTTAAGCTATTTTTAGACATGTTAGTCAGTTCTTCCAAGGATGGACAGCCCAAGCGACTTTCTCGCAACTACCTGAGACGATATGGCGGGAACTGCGAAAATTCATTTTATGTGTTTTGATTTTGAAAAGACGTTTCATAGCATGGATTTTTTCTGCACTCTCAGCTGTCTTTAAGTTCGGCCGGGCTTTCGTTTGATTTTTGCTTGTTTGGCTGTTCATTCTTTTGCCGTTCATTCGACTTTTAGGAGATTAATAAGCAAATTTTTGCGAGATTAGTAGGTCGAAAATTGTTTGTGCAGGGAATGTCTGTGTCTTATTTAAACTCTTATTAAAGCTTCGAAATGTAGTAAAACATAGTGAGAGCCGAAGCTCCTTTACTTCTTTGATATTAAAATGTCAAAGATCAGAAGACATCCCCACAGCGTCAGAGGTTTTGCTTCGCTTTGAAGTGGAACTAAACGAGGCATCAACAAATCCTCCTCGAAAACATCCACGCAACGCGCACGTAACATCCACGGAAGAATTAGGTACTATGTCTAAAAAGAGGGATTATCTTGGGTAAAAGGCCTATATGTGGGATTCACTCTCTTACCTGGAAGCCCCTGATAGAGAGAGAATGAAGTAGATAAGCGTATTCCTCTTGAATGGCCTAAAAATGTATCAAAAGTACTCTCGGCTCGTGCGCTCGACTCCAGCCCTGGCTGGGGACATTGTGTTGACACTTTACTCTGACACTTTACAGTGCTTCTCTCCACCCAGGTGTATAAATGAGTATTGGTGAATTTAATACTGGGGCAGGGGTAACTCCGCGATGGACTCACTTCCCATCAGAAATATCCTAGTCACTTCATGCAACAGAAACCGGAGATAAGCGCCGGCCTAATCGGCCCTATGGTTTGTTTGCATGCTTATACCATTTGCCGAGTGAGCTGCCAAAAAGTAGCTTTAAACACAAACTGAAACAATTTTAACCTTAGTTGGTAGTAGTATTTTGAAACTTAGTTATTATTATTATTGTTATTATTATTATTATTGTTATTATTATTATTATTATTAGTATTATTATTATCCTCTCTTGATAGAGAGGCACTGATTAGAGAAACGTTTTATGTAACATTAAGTTTCCGCAGTTGAACAACGCTTAAGGGCTTATGGTACCCTAAAATATGGCGATGTTCATGGAAAATTCAATTTCTTGGAAATACAAGACTTAAGACCCTTGAGAACTTGTCAAAAACATTTTGAAACGATCTTGCCGAATTTTCTTTCCAGATGAGTGTGAAATTTAAGGAAAGTACATAGTGGTATAAGTTTTTTCACGTGGCAACGGCCATAGCAACGACTGTTTACTATAAGAACGTGACCAAAAATATAGATTATTTTTAACTTATATGAACGA